CTTAACTTCGACATGATTTCAGCTCAAATCTGTCTAACTTCAGCAAACACCCTTACTATGGATGACGTCATCCCCATAACTTTTTAAAATTGAGAAACCAAACTCTTCTCATTCCCGCAAGCTTCACTATTCATAGGCAATTTACATATCAAAACATTGACTTTTTTTGTTTGTTTAGTTTGACCTGCTCTGACACCAGCATTCATTTAGTCCACTTTTCTTAAAGGAAAAGATTTTTTTTTTTACTTATTAATTGACAAATTGATTATGCATGCAGTAAGCAATTGTTTTATTTATAAGACCAGTTATGTTTGCCGTCATAATAAATAATAATAACTTATTTTACTTTAAGAAAGGCGAGAGGTGCACCTCTTTCTGATCCAATAATTTACAACAGTCTAGTGAAACTTATAGGTCATGCACATCTACACAGGTTGCATTTTTCTGACAAAACATACTGGAATCGTTGACGTTCAGACGTCCAGCATGGGCTTTATGTGCTTGAATCCCGTCACATTCTTCCCAGTATATCCAGGTAGCTATTGGCACGATTTTGTTTTTTTCTTTACAGGAGGAAAGCCCCTCGTGTTCATCTGCAGCTGTGTGTCCAGGATGCAGTCAGACCTCCCGTCCTCCCAGTTTGGACCCTGCGCGAATCTGTCCTGCAGCGTAATCCATCCTGGTCCATTTAATGTCAACCGGGTCTTTTTGCGCTTCCTTGTTTGGATGATGAGGCTGAGAGCTCGGGTGTGGGGCGGAGGCCTCCGTGCTGACCCCGACGCCTCCTCACGTGTCGACGGGACTCGGAACCATGCTGTTCGGTGTGTCCGGTAGTTGAGACGACAGGGAGGTCACGTCGCTGCCCGAGGAGTTTCCCAAAGAGCCCGACTCAGAGAAAGAAACCTGTGGGCGAAACAGCCTGGATCAGTCACGTGAAAAATTAGATCATGTTGTGATTTTTATTTTGGTTAGGAGTTTGTAATTAAGGTCAAACTATACCTATATATATTTTTGTCCATTTCCCTTTTTCCTAAATTGCAAGATTATTTACTAAAATCTCAGCAAGAGTTTTTGGCGTTTTTTTTTTGTTGTTTTTTTTAAATGCTGCAAAACCTGTTCCTGGCTTACAATGCATATGCTACAGTTTCTTCCTTCCTTTCTTTCCATGCAACTACAGCTGTGTGTTTTGCATGCTTTTTAAAACACTCTTATGAATGCAAAAGTAGCCCACCAGTTGCTGGAAAGCAGGCTGGTCCAAGTCGGTCTGCAGGGCAAAGTCGCTGAGGCTTTTCCAGGGAGGCTGGTAGGTCTGCACCTCCACTGGGTTCCCCTGCACGGCGTTGTCGTGCCGGATCGGACTCCCAGCCACCAGAGGAGTGCCTGTCAAGCCCTGGAGATTCTGGCAGGGAATGAAATTAGTTCATTAAGATCTTGCACAGTTAGAGAAAACGTATAGGCTAATTCACAATATATCAAACGAATCTAAAATAAATAAATATCACTGCAGAACAGAGCACTTTCATAAGGAAAGGAAGAACGCAAACATGCGTTTTATGAAAAAAAAAAACCCCGAAATTTAATTTAAAAATGTCATTCGGCATATATTTTTTTCATTTATTCTTAATTAATTATTAATAATCAATAGATACCCCTTTATGTCTCCAAAATGTGTCTTCTAATGTTTTAACTACTAGGCCCTAATCAATATTAGCATTGTTGTTGTTACAAACAAGGCATGTAAACATGATCTGATTATTATCTAATTCTCCTTGCATCAAGAAATAGTTACAGTGTTGCTCTTTTTGATAAAGTTTCAAGAAGCAAGAGCTTTCACTCCGCGTACGGTTTTGTCGCTCTGCTGCTGCTGCTGAAGCTGCTTCATCAGAATGGACTTCTTCTTGTCCTTGCAGCGCTTGTTCTGGAACCAGACCCGGATCACCCTGGGGCTCAGGCCGGTCATCTCCACCAGCTGCTCCTTCATCAGGGCGTCCGGCCTCGGGTTGGCGTTGTAGCACGTCCGCAGCGTGTGCAGCTGCTTCTCGTTGAGCACCGTCCGGACTCGGGTGGTCTTTTCGGACTGCTTGTGGACGTGGTTCCGGTGGTGAGGCGGGTGCCGGACCGAAATGGAATCTCAAAGGGAAGACATTTAAAAACGAAATAGTTTGAGCAACAAATTTGCAGCGTGTTCCAAAATAAATAAATGAATAAAAATAAATAAATTAATAAATAATAATAATAATAATAATAATAATAATAAAATAAATTTTTAAAAAATGAGTTTGGAATAATATTAATAATCATCATCGTAATTATCATAATAACTGCTGCATACCAGCAATGTGCAGCGGTCTGGTGTGAATGTTCCCGGGACTCTGCGGGCTTCCTGCAGAGGACCGCTCCACCAGCAAGCCGTGATCGGCCTGACACAGAAGCTCGTCGTCCCGCAGCGAGAACTCATCCCCCGGCAGGAGGTGTCGGCTGCACACCGAGCACCGAAAACACTCCATGTGATACACATTGCCTCGGGCCCTCATCACCAGGTCGCTGCTGCAGAAGCCCAAGTCACATTTTGCACATTTGATGCCAAACAATCTGAGAGAGATACATAAAGATGTGGATCTGTCATTGAGTGGTTCAACGCTTTCTCAGCATGTTCAAATGAGCACAATTGTTGAAACCCATTGCATGCTTCTCTTCTTTGTTGTTATTATTATGATTAATATTTTTAATAATCAATTTCACAGTGGCCTTCTCTACCTTGCATAATCTCTTTTACAGTAAGTCTTTCCGTCCCGGACGAAGCAAGTGCACGTCTCATCCAGATACTGGTTGCACTCCGCGCACTTGAGGCAGGCTGCATGCCACTCCAGGTCCGGGGAAACTCTCAGGATGTACTGGTCGTGTATCTGACTTCCACATCCCACGCACATTGCGATTCCCGACTTCTCTACGAAAAGGAAGTACATTAATGTGAAGCTTTCATGGAATGCATGTTGGATCCACTTTAACCAAAAAGAAACGAATGCAGAACAAACATAAACGCCGTTCCAACATTAGCTGCGGCGTAATATTGTAGACGCAAAAGGTAAATATTTTTGATCATATCATGCAAGGTTATTTCGCAAATTAAAAAAAAAAAATTATATAAATAATGACATGGCAATCCATGTGTGTTTCCCAAGTGTTAATTTCGCTGTATTTATATATATATATAGGCTATATCCTATGTAAAAGATAGACATTACATTTCAAATGAGTTAAAATAGACATAAACAGTAAATGTTCCTCAAAGTGAAAGTAGCCTATCTTACTTTTTGAACGATCCCCCATATCATCCAAGAAAGAAGTGTTGAGAAAGACGTCCACCATACAGGACAGACAAGTCGAGTTGCACGCCCACGGACGGAGGAGAGCAGCGGCGGAGGAGCCCGACCGTCCCGTCCCTGGCTGCAGGATAAACTTGTATTCCTCCTCTGGGAGGTGGAGAGAAAACAAAGACCATCGACCAGTGACGTCTGCAGGAACCTGGACCCGTGTCTGTCCGGTGGAGAGGGTGCCATATGCAAATCTCCGCTTGGACCCCCTGCTCGTTATGTCTTCTGTGGGCAGGCTTTGAGGCAGTCTGTTTATGTTGCTCTCTGCTGGCAATGCTTTGCTCACCACTCTTCTTCAAATGTGCATGTTTGAACCTGTTACTTACAATGCACTTTTCTTATATCGGTTGGTGCCACATTTGTTTGCTTTAACAGGCCACGCTTTGTTTTTGAAGCTGCTCTATAATCTTCATCATTACCAGTTCATTTTTAACTATTGGTTATTTATTTCACCCGGACCCAGCATATTGGAAAGAGTCCATTAAGTAAATGTTACTAATGATAACATCTTATACTATATCAATTTCTTAATGTAAATGTGTATTTTTTTCTTACTTGGCTGTGTTCATTCTTCTCCTTTTATATTTTAACTTTTTTTTCTTTTTCTTTTCTTTTCTTTTTTTTTTTTAACTTTGTTCTTTATTTTGGTGAGTGTATAGCGTATACTGAGTCACACCGCTGTGGGGCGACCTCTACTGGAAAAATGTTCACATTGCCACAATTATAGAAAATCATCATCTTAAAAATGTGAGTTTAAACACAAAGTCCATTGGTGCGATGATTGAAATTTAAAATGAAAATATTGATAAATAAATTTGAAGTTATTTTTTAAGCTATAAATCATCAATGTGAAATAATGTAAGATAGTGATACACACACAATGCAGTCAATACTCAACTACATATTGATCTACAGAGGGGGAAAAATATTTATTTAGTTTTTAGGATGTTCTATTCTACTATTCTGTCTAATATTTTGATAAAATAAGTATATTCTGTTAAGATATATATTTATAATATATTTATTTGAAATGGTCAAACGAAATTGAGAAATGTCTTTGTTTTAAATAGTAAAATATAGTAAATAGAACAACAGTTAAATTTTTTGTAAAGAATTACTTGCTTTCACAGTACTGAATTTTAAGGAGATATATATATATATATATATATATATATATATATATATATATATATATATATATATATATATATATATATATATATATATATATATATATATATATATATATATATATATATCATATGATATATATATATATATATATATGAAATGTATGCTTAGATAGATAGATAGATAGATAGATAGATAGATAGATAGATAGATAGATAGATAGATAGATAGATAGATAGATAGATAGATAGATAGATAGATAGACGTACGAGTGTGTGAGCGTAGGCGTGTGTGCGTGTGCGTGTGTGTGTGTGTGTATATAGTTACATATATTTTTATTGAGGCATTGAAACAAAACAAACATTATTTAAATAACGTATTAAAGCTTAATAAATAAAAAATAAATAAAATTGTACAATTAAAAGGCGACATGGAGAAATGGAGAAATGCAGCCAAGCGCTCCGAAAAATTCTCGGGATTCTCTCGCGAGATTTTCCTACAAACGTCCTTGCATAAAGTCCACTAGTGGATATCCCTACGCTGAAGCTAGACGAAACGTGAGGTGTCCATTATGAACAGAGTTTTAAACAAATCATCTCTGAGGAATCTGGTAAGAGTTTTACTGTTCTATTGCAGCCAATGTGTTGCTCCGTTTTAGATGTTTAAAGTTCCCGAAGCTATACCCATCTAACGTGTTTTTGTTGTTGATGCTAACTGGTTAGCTCATTTGGTTGGACTCAATGAGCAATTACTTCATTTTGCATATGCATCGAGTCACCTCTGACGTTGCATCAATTATTATCTGCATGTTAGACACGACAGAAGCTGAAATGTAAGGTTTTGTTTCAGTCAGTTCTCTTTTTGTGTTGACATCGCTAGCTTAGCTCTTATGAAACATCGTAATGTTAGTTACGAAACTGCAACTTTGTCAATGACAAACATCGCCATACTATTATGAAATATATTGTAGTTTAATATTTATCACTGTTATACGTTATATTTTACTTTCTCTTAAAGTCATCTCTAAAATTAATACCTTAACAGTTTATGTAAACAACACAGGCGTAATTTGGAATTTAACATCATGCTAATGTAAATTTTTAAGCTGACTGAAACTGTAGGGTTCCTCTAAAAAGCTATAATATTATTAAAATGTTGAAATGTATGCTTACTCTGTTTTTTATTGTTCTGCTGAATAAAATTCAGCAGAACAAACAATACAGTTTGTTCCTGGTTGCAGGAACAAACTGTGCAAAGGTAAAATGTATTTCTGCTGCTAAACTAATTTGAAGCTGTCATCTCTAGACTACTGTTTTTAATTTTATTAGCATTTAATGAGAAAAAAAACTGTGCATCTGCTTTATTTTCTGTACTTTATCTGAATGTCCTTTCGTATCATGTATCACATCCATCATGTCTAGATTCAGCTGGTAATATCCTGTCTGGTTATGACACAGCTGGATGTGGCTTGTCTAGAGGTTATTTACCTGCTGTCATAATCTTCCATGTGGACTCTCCCCACACTAGTTTCCACAGAATGTCATGTGCTGGTAAAGGATTTCTGTGGTGCGATAAATTCGAGTAAATGGAACACAGTTTTACATTATTTACACAAAATACTAACATGGACACCATGCTCAAACTGCTTTTTATTTGAAACACAAGTTCATAAGTCCAAGAGTTATTGCTGATGCTGCTAAAATAATAAGACAATCTTGAATGTGCCATCATTTCAAAATTTTTATTTTAGGCCTTTTAAAGGGAGGGGATGAGCATGCTTTCACATATTGTTTAATGCCATTTATGTGTTCTATGTCTTGTAGTTGAGCAAAGGAATTTGGGCAGTAATGCATTTTGACATTTCTACAAAGTCCACTAAGTAGAGCTGTAATTAGCCCTGTTATTAAGAATATGCCTAATTTGTATTTTCAAGCTTTTTTTTTTTCTGGCCAAATATTTTGAGTCAGAAATATTATGCCAGTATGTTGTGTTTGAATACCAAACTGTTGAGCTGACAGGTGCCCTCCTGACCCCGATTTCCCTCCCTCCCATCGACTCTATTCATTCACAGCCTGCGTCCACACATGGTGACTGATTTGTATTTCCCAACAGACTGGCCTCATCCAGAGGTTTCAGAGCACCTTGGTCGTCGCAGAACACAACAATGACAAGCTGACCCCCATTACTCTCAATGCCATCACTGCTGCCGGTAAGCTGGGCGGAGATGTGTCTTGTCTGGTTGCAGGAACAAACTGTGCAAAGGTAAGATGTATTTCTGCTGCTAAACTTTTTTTTTTAAACTAAAACTATATGAACAGCATTTTGTTAGAAACAAAACTTGCTCTGAAACAGGTTTATTCATGAGCCACACATTTCAAAGCATCAAGCCCGCGTCTGTTAAAGTTATCAGCTATTAAACATTAATCATGAATGTAACTATACCATCACTAATGCAAACTCTTGATTGTTAACCAACATAATTTTTCTTTCTTTTGAGGTTGTGGAGGAGATCAGTAAAGTGCAGGGTGTGAAGAAGATCTTGGTGGCTCAACATGACTCTTACAAAGGTGCCTTGCCAGGTATGTTGATCATAACACATTTATTGAACAAGTTGTTCCTATTATAATGTTGGTATTTAAATAAATTTTCAAAATTAGTGCACTTTCAAAGCTTGGACATCATTCAATTTACCATCAAATTTTTTAAACAAAGCACAGAGAGCTTATTGTTGGATACCTTGGCCAGTAATTTATAGTTGAATATTTATGATTACACTGCAGTCTGAGGGTTAATTTTAATATGACCATATGTTTTGCTATTTGGTTTGCAGAGGAATTGACTCCCCTTATCTTGGAAACACAAAAGCAGTTCAACTTTACTCATATCTGTGCTGGTGCATCTGCTTTTGGAAAGGTAAAATCCTGCTACACCCCGAATTCTTTGCCTCCATCTCTGATCAGTCATGTATTACCTATAGTATTACCTCTCATTACTTCATTCAATAGAATCTGCTTCCCAGAGTTGCTGCCAAGTTGGATGTTGCCCCAGTTTCAGATATTATTGAAATCAAATCTCCAGATACTTTTGTCAGGACTATTTATGCAGGTATGACAAACTTAAGTAGACCTCTACAAATCATTGTTCTGAATCGGATTTCTTTTTAAATTATATATTTTTGACCTTTTTTTTTATTGATTTAGCTTCATTTTGTGGGTTAGTTTTGAAGTGAAACATATCTTGGTACAGGAAACGCCCTCAGCACGGTGAAATGTAACGAGGCGGTCAAGGTCTTCACTGTCCGAGGGACGGCATTCGAAGCAGCTTCAACAGAGGGAGGAAGTGCTGCGTCAGAAGAAGGTGTTACAGATTCAGCCTTCTGTGTTTGAGTACAGCCTTAAAAGAAAACAAAGCAAGTTGTGTCGAAATCCTGTCTTGCTTGTACTGATTGTCGCCATTCTGATTTGCAGTCGCTTCTACTCCTGCCGCTGGAGTTTCTGAGTGGCTCGAGCAAAATTTGACAAAGAGCGACCGTCCCGAGCTGACAAGTGCAAAGGTTGTGGTGTCAGGAGGTATGAACCCACCGCCTGTCTTTGACACAAGATCTCAAATTGAATTTATCACTGTTAATAATGGGTAGCACAAAAAAAGAAAGTCTCCAAGCAGCTAATATCGAGCTGTCATTTTTCCAGGAAGAGGCTTGAAGAGCGGAGAGAATTTCAAACTGCTTTACGACCTTGCTGACAAATTGAACGCTGCTGGTACGATGAGAAATATGAGGGTTCATTTGTTATAGTTGTGCTGATTGATTAAAATGTAAATCTTCTGCTTTTTATTGCAGTTGGTGCATCCAGAGCTGCAGTGGATGCTGGGTTCGTCCCTAATGACATGCAAGTCGGACAGACTGGCAAGATCGTAGCACCCGTATGTTCAACCTGACATCAGCTGAAGATTTGTGGAAAACATTTGATCATAAAACGAAGGGAGCATTAGAAAATTGACTAACTTATGGTTAAAGACATGAAGACGCTTTCTTTAAAATTTGAGCAGATCTTACGCTCAGCTGTAGCATTAATGTTGTACACTTTACTGTGAGAATCGTTTGCTATCTCTACGCAACAATTCAGTGAGATAGGGATGGCTGCTCCTTTTGAAAAGCTTAACTTCCTATTATGATTCAACCAGGATACCCCAGCTGTGATTATCCACACATTAGGCTCCTTTGAAATGTGCCTACTGGCACATTTAGCGGCCCTAAGTGATTTAGCTGATCCATTAGAGCAGAATGGAGTGGATGTCTGACCAGAGCCTCAGACATATCGTTTTCATCATTTTTTTTTTTCAGTTTGCATTAGATCATTCATGGGTACTCTACTTCCTCTGAATCCTCAATTGGAACATTCACTGTATAGTTCAGGTCTTTGGCACTTTTTAGGAAAAATATGCAAAAATATACATTTGTAGAGTTTTACCTTTTAAATTCTGAGTATTCATTTCATTTTGGGGTCCAAAAGAAATCCCTGCAACATTTTTTTAAAAATATTAGGATGTTTGAGATTATATCATTTGTAATTCAAATTGTTCACTATTTTTCACTATAGCACACACAGTTTAAGAGAATGACGAAATACAGTGCGAGTGTGAAATATTGGTCACCAAGTGTCCAGTGACCAATATTTGCCTTGGTGACCAATCTTTGTTGTCAGATGACACCAATATTTAGCTAAGCAAAGCAAGACATGCTCACTGCTAAGTACAGTTGAGAATATGTCATGCTGGGGGATCAAACCACTGTGATTAACATCACAGATTATTTGATACACTGGAATGTGTATAATTTTACTAAACTTATGACCAAATCAACACAAAGCCGTGGCTTTTCTCTCTTGATTAGAGAGATGGATTTGTGATGCTTCTCCCTGTATGTGTCAGTTTTGTAAAATATAAGAGACCACCAAGTACTGTTTTTTTTTCTTTTTTTTAAAGCAAAGTGTGGTTGAATAGCATTGATGGACATCAATATTTGTGCATCTGATGAGTTTGTTAAATGCTGCTGCATCGAATGCAATGGATTTATATCTTTTTTCACACATCTTTACTACCGGTGCCAACGACTTTATCTGCGGTAGTGAAAAACTTTGTTGCAGGTTTCATTAAATATTTGACCTGGGTTGTCTGTGCTGGTTTAGCTGTGTTTATTCATGACTAACCTCTATTCATGTTTAATGTCTTAGGAGTTGTACATTGCAGTTGGAATCTCTGGAGCAATCCAACACCTGGCTGGAATGAAAGACAGCAAGGTAAAGTTGGAGAACAAAGACAAACATTTTATTTTTATAAATCCATTTTTCTGCTTTCCTGTATCCAGCACTAGTGGTGTTTTACACAAATTTCAGGCATTTCTAACATATTGTTTTCCCTTTTAGACTATTGTTGCCATCAACAAAGACCCTGAAGCTCCCATTTTCCAGGTGGCTGACTATGGCCTTGTGGCGGATCTTTTCAAGGTGAGGATCTATGAGCAAAACAAACTTGTATTAAGGTATGGCAAACTCAGCGTTTTATTAGCTTTTAGTCCAGAATAACAGTCAGAATATAACATTTGTTTCCTAACTTATAAATTTTGCAGGATGCCTTATTCCACCTAATGGAAATGTGCAACTGCTGAATTATTAAGCCCTTGAATTAATCTAAGGAGGGTTCTGGCTGGTGCGTGCTGCCATGAGGAGACCACATTAGCATCTCAGGAGATATCAAAACTGATCAATAGCCGGATAAGAGTTGGCCTCGGTTGGCGTTCTGAGCTTCGACTTGCCAGGCCTCTTATACGCTCAGTTGCTTTCTTGTGTCAAGTTGGTGCTCGGGGATATCGAGCCAGGCGCATTGGCATGACTAACACTGGAGTCCAGTGCCGTCTGTGAAAGGCTAGCAGGTTATATTTTCATGTGTGTCCTGTTGGTCATGTTTTATTTAGCCCTTCAGTAGTGGCTGAGCAGCCCAGGTGTCCTGACAAACTCTGTAGGAGTGATTAGGAATAAGCTGGTGGCAGCAGAGTTGTGACCTGCTGGGTGAGATCATCTTACATGTGATCACTCCTCAGATAACTGATTAAAATGGATGGGCTCTCTACTTTTTTCCTAAATGGACATTGATATCCTGCAGGAACTCGGGCAGTGACTGATGATTCTCCTCAGACGCTGCTCGAGTCAAATGTGGAGGCATGTGAATAAATTAGCATGCATATTCATCGCTTGAGTCTGTAGCATCATACAAAAGGATTCATACCTCTTAAGCTCCTCCGCATTTTGTGACATTGCAGCCACAAACTGCAGCATTATGTTGAGATTTCAGGCATTTAAGAGATAGTTAAGAGAAAGTAGTGCATTATTATGGGGGGTGAAAAGTTGATGAAAAGTGGTTTTATTTATTAGCTTTTTTTTCTCCAACCTCTTTTCCACTGATACCCCATAAATTAAATGCACTGCAATAATCTCCCCTCAGAAGTCACATACATACTAGATGGAGTTCATTATTTAGAATTTTAATCTCTTCTTCAAAAGCCTAAGAGGTTTATTGGAGAACATTGATGAACATTATTGAAATAACGGCACTGATAACGACACCAAAGTAATTTTATCTGTTTTTCTCTGAAGGCTGTTCCTGAGATGACAGAAGCTCTAAGCAAGTGAGGGGAATCGAACCAGCGTGAACCAGAGCAACCATAGAAAACAGTCAACGCCTTAACACGTTTTTAAAGCTGTATGTTGGTGTTCTACAAAATCCCATTCTTTTAATTCCAGTTTGAATGTAGACTGCAGATATCAGATGGTTAATGGTTAACCTCTGCTTGCATCTTTTTGCTTTCTGTAGTACATGTAAATTGTATTTAAAGTCTTGGAACAGTACTTTTGGATGTCTGAATCTTACATGTAAGAAGGAAAAGAAAATGTACAGTAAGTAAAGAGATGCTTTTGAAAAGCAGTGTATTAAACACATATCTCAGAACGTCTACGAATTTGCCATGTTTTGATTTTTATTAAGTTGCAGCATTGATAACCTTGATCAGAGAAATGTTTAGAAAGTTTCCAATGTGGTCACAAATCTTAAAGGTTCATGCTATCATATCTATTTTTTTTGCACTTTATTTGAACTCACATTTCTTGCTCTTTTGTGAGACAGTCATTCTCTTTTATGAATATTTACACAAAATTATGTAAAACAAAGGGAAAAAAACATTTATTTAAGCTTACATGAAACCTGGAGGGTTTTAATTACCTTAATGTGGATTGGCAAAATCTTGAATAATCTTATTAAACTGGGGCTGGACAGCTTCCAGTCATGGCACCCGGAGTAATTACAAATCATCTGACATTTTAAAAGTCCAAAGATAAAATCCCTTTAACTCTGACTGTAGATAAACATGTAGAAAGTCAAAGAATAGAAGTTGAGATAATAATATTTTGCCCTGCAGGAGTCCATCAAGAAGGACTGTCAATAAATTTGGAGACGCTGACTTAGACACTGCTGCATGTTTCCCGGTGATGTAACGAGACAAGATTATTTGGAGAGCTCTAAAGTGTAAGAACAATAACGTTCAGCCCTCAGCACCATCGCCTTTCCCTCTTCATTTTCTACAAAAAAAAAAACATGAAAAGAAAAGCAAACTTGTCTGCACAGGCAGTATTTTTTTTTTCTTGGAATGCCTGACCTTGTTCACGCTGCTGGTTTGTGTTAGGAAAAGTAAGAAATTGTCAATTCCTGAAAAGTGTAGCCTGATGAATAATCTGTCTTTATTTTTATCAGTGCCCCTTGATGTGAGTTCATGCTCTTTAGTCCCAGCAATATAAAGAGGATTTAAGGAAGAGTTCATGTGCCAGTGACTTGTCAGGGTAGTTGAGGTTTTTTTTTTTTTTGCACTTGATCAGAGGAGCAAGCCTCCCTAGTTGGTCTGTGAAGTCCTACGCTTCTGACAGGTGGTTGACTGAAGTCTCCACCGATCCCATCATCCTGTATTTTTCCTCAAGCAGAGGCTCGTTACCCTGCAGGTGGATAACCGGCTTGTTGTGAAGCCCGATCCGGCTCTCTTGGTTCCTCTTGTTATAAATGTTCAGTCTGCGCTCCAGCTCTGGGCTGGTTTTGGTGGAGCCGGTCGGACTGGGCGGTTTTAGATTTACAGGGTCCAAGCCCTTCTGAGTGAGACATGAGTCCTCAGAAAGTGAGTAGAGCAGCTCCTGCACCACAGCACTGGGATTCCCTCGTGGCTGGGGGCCCAGGGCCAGCGGGCTGCTGTACGGTGGCGGGTAGCAGCGCTGGTCACTGTAGTCCGTGGAGGTGGAGGCCTCGCGCACCGTGGAGCTGCAGTCCATGCTGGAGCCCAGCGTGTGGCTGCTGATGCTGTGCTGACGGGCGCTGAAGCTGCTGCGGGACACGGCCGTGGTGGACGCCTCGCTCACAGAGCTGCTGGTGCGCTGCAGTCGGCTGGACAGCGCCGCGTCGGCGCTAACTAAGGTAGAGGGAAGCTGGCTGGGGTTGTTGGGCAGATGGACATCTATCGCTGCCGTGGTGATGACACGGGCTGGGTCTGGGATCCCCATATCTGCAAAAAATAAAAAATTAATAAAACAACTTTGGAATAAAGTAATCTCACAGATAGTTCCTACAAAAACATTTGTATACCTTTGAACGTTGTCATCTTTTGTCACATTACACCAACAAACTTCAATGTTTTTGAAGTTTATACGACTGACAAAACTAAATAAGGGCATAATTGTGAAGTGAAAGAACCAGAAAAAATATCAAAAATCTTCACAAATAAAAAGACTGAGACTTGTGTACTTTTATATTCGCCCCCCTTTACTTTGATGCCATTAAATAAAATGCAGTGGAAACTGTTGCCTTTAAAAGTAACCTGCTTAGTAAAATAGAGAGAAAGTTTAGGTTGATCATCTATTCACAGTAGATTTATGTCTGTGAATAGGAGCTTTCTGTCTCAATTTCCTAAAATGGTTGGACAAAAATTTGAGCTATTTTCCTGTTTAACAGTTATGGACTGCTTGTTGTTGGGGTATCCATTAAAAGCCCAGTTTTGTGTATTAGCATTTGCAATATGACAAAATGTGAAAAACTTCAAATAGAACAAATAGCTTACAATACCACGGTTTTGGTTTGCTGATACTCACCGCTGCTTGGCTCGCTGTAGTACTGGCTGATGTAGTTATTCATGTCATCCTGACCATGATGATCTGAAAATAGAAAAAAAAGAGCTCATGTCAGTGTAAATGTAGTGTACACTGCAGTAGTTATAAATTAACGGTGAAACACAAAATCAGTGTTAGTAAATAAGAAAGAAGAAAATGATTCCTAAAATCCTCATTTATGATAATACAACCTCCGAGGATCATTAAACTAGAGATGTGGTAACAAATAAGTTGTAAATAATAAATAAAATGCATAAATGAAATTGTCTCTCTTGGTAATTTAACTGGTCAACACAATTGCTGGATTTTCAATATTAATGTGATCTGTATCTTTCTGTGTAATAACTTGTTAATATGTACTGTTCAACTTTTTACAGGTGAGCCCAAGAAATATTTGCTGACTGATGTTTTTTTTGTTTTGCTTTAAAATGTTAAGCAAATAAAATTAAACCAAATTCAAAACAACTAAACTGTCAAAAGCAAACTCTGTATTTCATTGTAATGAATGGGTCACTATGCTGTTGTATAGTATAATAAAGGGACATACATACTGAAATGACATTTAATTTTAAGATTAATTTCTGTTGCAGATACATTTAAATGTAAAACATATGAGATCACATTAAATTCTTCAAAAAAACAGAAAGTAAATGACATAAATTCCTAGACATTTCTAAAAAAAAAAAAAAAAAGATAATTTCAGATAAATTTGTGACACATTTGTATTTTACAAATATGCATTTTTGTAAATTTCTCTCTGTATAACTGTTAATATGCCAGACTCTGCAGTATATTGATTTATGCTTAGGATTTTATTTTTATGAGTCTGTCTTCATTGTTCAGTCCAAACAGCGACAGACACCATTCCCCAAATGATCAATACCACTTGAGTGTGAGACTTTCGAGGCCAACTGAAATGCAGTCCAACTTCAAACATGCCATCTGTTTCACGCTGTGATTTATTACGCCGATAAAGAAAATGCTTCGGTGTTGTGAGCCCCTGACATCACCTGTACAGACAGTGCTCTGTGTCCTCTGAGTTATGAGCAGTCTCTGTGAGAGAGGTTTATAGACCAGGCTCTGGCTCACTATGTGATGTATAGTGCAGATGTGGCACCAGAATTTTGATGAGGAAGGTGAGAAGATTTATTCTGAGGACACCAACGCCCTTACAGCGTTTGATGAATGTTTATTCTGTGGAGGATAAAGGAAGTCGTGCTACATTTTCTGCAAATTCTTGTCTTCATTTGCTAATTTTGTTGCCTTCTGCGGGCCAAATTGCCAAGTATTCTTTTTCAAGTCAACTAGACAAATTGTTCTGTTACATTATATGTTGGACAATATGCAGAGGCGGTACTAATATCAGTTCTGTGCGTTTATGTCGGCAGACATAAAAGATCATGGCATCTTAACAAGCTTTTAACATTGCTCAAATCTCACCTGAAGTGTACAAAAAACACACAATAGATTCCACAATGCTGTTTTATATCAAATGAAAATGAAGCACAAACAGAAAGGCAGTGGGTGGAAAAATAAGAACACCCTCTAAGCTTCCGTAGGATTTAGGAGTAGCAGTGGCAGCCTAATGCTGGTGTTTAAACTACTAATTAGCAGATGATTAGCAGTGTGACCACACCGATGAGAGCAGGAGTTTGGGCAGTTTGCTGATATCACAAAGGAAACGTATTAGCAACGACTTTATGACAAGTGTTGCTGATAATTCAACAAACTGAACATTAGAAACATTTAACAGAGTGATGAATCTTTTAAGGAGTTGCTATCCTTGAAAATTCTGAACATGCACTTCTGAGAAACCGTAAAAAAAAAAAAAAAAAAAAAAAAGATTATTTTCAGATTCCAGAGTTTCAGAGTTAGCATGTTAAATATTACAATTCATTACAGTACGATTAGATAAAGAAACCAGAAGTATCTGCTATGAAGGGTCACTGCTAAAGGGGTCTCAACAACATTTTGAATCATAGTGTCTCCTCAGGTTTTTTCAAAGCTACTTTTCAATTTTGCCCTTACGTAATGACAGTTTTGAATGTGCTGTGCTTTTCTTTGGACAACTGAGATTAGTTTTAAATAATTCCGGAAATAGATAAGGCCAGATCATGATCACTGTGTCCTGATATATAAAACACAGAGGAATCTTTTTATTGGGACTGTCTTGTCAGAATCAGGAAGAAGGCCTGGAGGGAAAACGTCGTCTAAAAGACCTCTAGAAAGCCCAAGAGAGCTATTGTTCATGTCTACTTTAAAAGATTTAAAAGCTCCAATGGGTTTGGAAGAAACGTTTGCAGAAACAAAAGGTTTCTGCAAATGAACTAAGTTAGGGTGAACTAACTTAGCTCTTTTTTGTTTTATGGCTTTCACTTGCTAACATGGTTTATATGCCTGGCTATCTTTATAAGGACACACTGCGTTTACTGTCACAGATTGTTTCACAAAATCTTCCTCACATTTTTTGTTTTTTTCCATTTTGACTCAGCAGACAGTTTTAAAGGCTCTGATTTATTTAAGAAAAAAGAATCGCAAACAAATAATAAAGAAGGGACTTCTTCTAATGTTTCAAATAAGTTATCTGCAACCCTTTTTGTGGTAGTATATATTTTTTGCTGCTTGTTTACTGTCCACCCCAAACTTTACAATTAAACCTCCAGCTCCTTTCAAGATATTAAATTTCTCCACCATTTATTGGTGAATGACCATCTTTCCTCCTCCTTTTAGTTCTCAGTGATAAACCACAACAGGATGTTTTGGGTGGGTTACCTGTTGCCCCCCGAGGCTCCCTAACTTTGGCTGGTCTGTGATGGTCAGAGGCCCCCACTGCTAACCCGTCCACCTCCTGGAAGCTGCTGCTCTGTTTCCCCCACATATGGTGGATCTGCATGGCAGCTTCGCGCTCTGCTACAAGGTCCAGATCCTGCTGGGCAAGGTGGGCCCTCAGCTGTCTGATTTCAAACTGGAAAGAAGAAAATCGTAGGAAAAAGAAAACGTATGAGAAATTTTATGTTTTACAAGGGATGTTTTTCAGCCCAACGAATTTATTTACAGTGCTATGAGAGAGTTCAGCAGTGGAAAAAAACTGAAGATGGCTGTCTTGTCAGTTGGTTCATTATTAGCATTTTATACTTTGTTTCTATGTTAGTAAACCTTTCAGAGCTTTCAAACGCCAGATTAACATCTTCACTTGAAATTCTTTCAAAAATGATATTATCTCCACTTTTGAACGCGTTCAAAACACATCCTTATACAGTCCTTCATTTTTTTTCTCTCGGTTCGTTCGTTTATATAGATGTTTTTCATTACACTACTTTTTCTATTTGGATTTGTTGGCTTTGTCTTCTACCAAAACATGCTTGATTTGTTTGAAACATTTAAGAGTGTAAAAAAAAAAAAGAAATCTGCATGGAAGTAAATACTTTTTAAACAGAAGGTTATATTACTTGCAGACTTACCAAAAGTGAAAAAATACAAATTTATAATTAATTGTGAAATATAGAGCACCTTCAAACTGATGTCACGACCATAGTGTAATTTCTTTCTTGTTTATTTTTGATTCATACATTTTGCCCGGCGGTGGAATTGTTTCTCTCGTGTGGCATTTTGCTGCCCTCTGCTGGTTTCACGCTGCTACAAACCAACATAAGAGAGGATCTAAGTGAGAACTTACAGCTTGTTCTTGGCAGATCTGGGTTAGACGATCAAGCTGCTCCTCCCGCACTGCTTTAGCCTTCTCGTACTGCTGGATCTCCAGCTCCATTTCCACCTTCACTTGCAGAACATATGCTGGAAAACAAAACAGACTGATCTAAGTGGAGATAATATAATTTTTGAAAGAATTTCAAGTGAAGACATTAACCTTGCGTTTGAAAGCTTTATAAGGTTTATTAACAAAGAAACAGAGAATAAGATGCTAATATTGAGCCAAAAGACAAGACAGCCACCTTCAGTTTTTTACACTGCTGAATGCACCATAAGTCATGGGACAGATTGTTTTACATTTGAGAAAATGTTTTGACCATAATGTTGCAGATGTACATCTGAGTGATTAATGCTGTGGCTGAGATTAATAAACAAACTTTATGCAACCAATTATGTCTGTTTTTCTGCTGCATGTCTTGAGAACATTTAACTTTATAGGTAACCTTAATATGTGAAAAACAAATATTACACACAATTAATAATGAAGTCAATAGTAGAATTTTTTTTTCTCATTGGTTTTGCACCCAAGCCTGAAATGAGCCTGATGTTTATGTATCGTCTTATATTTGATAAGTTTAACTTTCACAACTTGTAGAATTTTCTGGACTTTTACCCTGATATATGTCTATACTGAGGGCTTCATTTTGTTTATTTTCCTCATGCACTTTTTGTGTCATGCAATGAATACTTTTGATTTTGGGAGTAAAAGTAGTGACTTAAAATAGCCTTAAAATGTTAATAGATTAATTTAAAATAATAGCAATGAATAAGTTTTAAGAGGTAACCACAGTCCCCGGGCCACCAGGGGGCCCCCTCACGCTGCTGAACTCCTCCTGGCAAACATTTGAACTGATGTTGATTATAACATAATTTAAAATTTGCTCCTACAGCCTCTGAATGGTGAATTTAGTATAGCCCAAAATTTGTTTACATTTTCAATCATAAATGTTTTTTATTATTAAAGTCACTATAAATAAATTATGCTCAGGGCGCCATGCAATATTTATTTGAATTCATCTTGCATTTCACTGAACAGCCACACGAGGGAGCATCATGTTTAGTTCTGTATGACCAATGATCTGTGTCGATGAGCTCTTTGGAGCTTCACAGGTGACTTTTGATAAATGGCACCTTGCCCAATATAAGGAAAAACTAAAACAAACAAATACATCTCAAGACTCAACACAGCGAGTGCAGTGCATTATCTGTCTGTGTGAAGAGAGGATGGAGGAGACGTCGGCCCCTTCTGGCTCACCATCAATGATTCTCTTAACCCTCCAGATGCGCAGTGAGATAATGAGGCCGATGGCGTCCCAGGGGCTGCTGGGGCCATTGGCCACTGTGGAGGCCACCATGGGGGCCAAAGACAGCACAATGACAGCTCCATCAAACACCTGCAAAAAAAAAAAAAAACCTTGAGTTATAACACTTGCAGAAAAAGAAACCATCAATTTACTTCTCATGGGACACATGAGAGCTCACCTCTACTTTGTTCTCAATGTAATCCCATATCCCCAGCACCACAATCCTGAACACCGTCTGAGAGCAGCAACGAGACAGAAAAAAATGGAAACGTGGAGTAACTGTAGATATTAAACCCCACACTAAACACAATTTAATTAATGCATTGTCTTAATTTCTCCAATTTACCGGACCTAGTTTCATGTAATACAAGCCAAAGCTATAGTATTTCATGTCTACTGCAGTTTTGCCCCTTTTCTGGAACCTGAAAAGCCCTTTTAAAAGCTCATGCTTTTCTCTTTGTGCCAAAATCACAAGAACGTCTTGACTGTTTATGTAACATGTGTCAGTACTTTTATAACCTTAACTTGAGCCATGCAGATATAAAAGAACTGTTTGAATAATCTCACTATCTGTCTGCTATTGTCTGCATACCTCAGTGTGTCTGTTCTTCTTGAGCCCATACTTCTGTCATCACGCTGCCTTGTCTGCTCACTAACCATGGGATTTTGGCTGCAGATGCATATATACACTACCTTGCATACTCCTTGAACTTTTTGGAAGTTTGTCATGTTACAATTACAAACTTTAATGAGATGCGTTGGAATTTTATCAGACAGATCAACACAAGGTGATGGATATTTGTGAAGTGAAAGGAAAAGAGTGTTGTAGTTTTAAGTTTATGTTTTTGAAAATTAATCAATCAATCATTGCATACTTTGCATACTCCTCATTTAGGACTAATCTGAAATCTGGTAACTCTAAGGAACTGCATAGAATCTTTCAATTAGTCCTAAATTTCTGGTTTTTGTAGAAGAGCAGCAGCAAGAAAGCCGATTCAAAAAAGTCCAATTTTATTAATTATACAAGCACATTATAGATATTTTCAGCAAAGTTGTGTATGTGTGTTTTTTTTTTAATAATTATTATTATTATTATGACTGGACCAGTGTGGAGTAAATGGATATATTATTAGAACCTACTAATCCAAATTTCTGAGCTCGTTTAACTAAAAAGTATAAGATAACGTTAGTAAGGAAATGAGAAGATCATGCTTCTTCTCATTTCTTTGCTTTGTTTTAGGCCTTTAGCGAGGTTGTGTGTGAACTTTACATAAGGCATGTCTTTACATAATTTTTTTTTACCATTTATGGCAAATAGAGAAAAGAGCAGCTTCATTCTGATAGAAGGCACTTAACCTGTATCCTCCCCTACATCTCTTCCCATAAGCTCTGAGGCATTAAGTTTGCTTGAGTGTGTTGCAACGTGTATGGGGGAAGTGAAAGCTCACTAACGCCCATGTGCTGATGTTGACACAAATGCAAAAATATGCAAGAAAAGCTTTTCAAGTACCAATTTTTCCAGCACCTTTAGTTTGTGTAGTTTTTGTGTTTGTGTTGTCTGTGTTTATCTAACTAGCATTTTTGTTTTCACAATGCAAAACATTTGGGTATCTGTAGGTGACGCTATTTTAATATCACCATTTCACAGTAAAAGCAATGTATTTAGTTTCAGTAAAAGAAATGTTACAGATATTTTTGATTTCTCGCTTCTTTCAGTGAATATGCTCTGCAGAATATGGTGTAAATCACACAAATAAAACTGACAATAAGCATCTTAAAGGTAAAAATAACAGTGACAATAGTAACTTAAACCAATCCAGACAAGTGTTTGTTACATACTTTATAAATGAAGAGAGTTAACATGCAGATATGGAGCCTTATAGCAGAAGCTAAAGCTTTGAAAGTCAAGTGTAAGAAATGAAAATGATCATCAATGAAGAACATCTGAGGTGTTGGAAGAGAGTGGCACAGGAAGCTTTATCTGCACTTTAAACTGTCTTTGCTGTGGATCAATCAAATAACCTGAGATGGATCGTGCAACAGCAGAGACACGAGTGCTTTGGAAATTCAGTCTTCTTTATGTGAATTTTTATCGGATCAGAGTACCAAAATGTGTTTGTGCAGTGAATAAAGGTACAAAGCTGTTCCAGTATTGTGTTGAGAACCTGCTGGTGCATTTCATTGGAACAACATACTGCACAGCGCAGCATTAATCGTTAGGTCGCTGCATTGGCTGAAAGTGAGATTACTATTGTGTTGAGCAGGCGAGGACTCACCTCAGTGAAGAACACAGAGAGTATAGCCAGGCTGATCCAGTGGATGATGCTGGCAAACTGGGATGCATTATTAACTGAGGGCATAAAACACAGTAACCTATTATTTTAAAAGACAGAGGGGGACATGAGCTAAACATAGGTGATACATTTCACTGCATCAAACATCAAGTGAAAATACCAGCGCATCCACACGTATGCATCTCCAGATTGAAGCCTAAAGCAGCATCATACATATTCATTCACCACATACTGTACAGGCACGTGTCTGCATCTTCCATTCTATTCATCAGGCCACTTGCGGATGGCATCAAACTGCGCTCGGCTATCAGCAGAGACATTTGTCTTCACGCGCCACATCTCCCTCCATCTGTCTTTGTTTGCTGTGTTCAGTGATCTGTCCTATCAGCCTATTCATCTTCCTCCAAGTCCTTCCCACAATCCCACAAGTAGCAGACTCTGCATCGCTTGATTTCTTGGTCTATCTTCCTTCTCACATTTGTCTCTGTTGGTAATTTCACTGGTCAATCACTCAGTTAGTCCACTGGGAACACATTTTGAAAATCGCCAGAGGAAAATGGTCTGTCAGCATGTGAGCCCTGCGGACATAAAGCAGGGAATTCACTCAGATCTTTACCTCAAGGAATGTGAGTGAGTCTTAAAATACAATAAAATTTTGGATGTAGGAGGTTAGGATTTTTTTTTTGTAGATATTAGAATTGTTCATAAATTCAAGATGTACTTGGTTTTCTTCTTAGACAGTGATTTTGTTTCCCTGTGACTTAATTGTTTATATGTTTATAGTATTGGTGGCTGGAGATGAAATTTATAGAGACTTAACACAGTATAAAAAACAAACTTGCTGTTTTTGCATGTCAAATACTTATAGCAATGTCATCATTGAAGGTATGCTGGAGTACAGATGATCAATTATATATTTAGAACATGTCTGACATTAAATTTAGGTTGATAAGAAAAATGCTCCAAGTTAATCATATAATTTTTAAGATTACAATATACTGCAGAATTTCAGTTAGTCTTACAGTAGTACTGACAAAGAGTTGAGTTGAAGAAAGTTTATGCTCTTTTCAGTTTAATATTTGCAAGCATCAACATTATCACAAAGTATATTTGAATAAAATTACCTTCTGTGCTTTATTTTAATCTTAATGTAGCATTCTTGCATCTTAACCTTCATGCTAATGATGGAGTAATGAACCTGCCCCTTTGTCTTATGTATTAGATCTATGCTTTGACCCAGTGCCTTTGAATAACAATCAGTAAACAGTTATGCTGAGCAGACCACTTTCCTGTCTCTCCAAGGGCGTGTTGCATCCAGTCTAGCCTGTTAATAATGAACAGAACACACCAACTTCATCAATATTACATCCTCAAAACCACACTTGCCATCCCCTCCAACGTCATCACGGCCATGTTATCTTGGTAAGCATCACTCACACTGCAATAGCTTGATGTCTATGAGCAACTCCACTGTCAGCAGCAGCACCACCAGGATGACACAGGCCACCAGGAAACAGTTGAAACCTGCTGACAGCAGACAGACCTGCCACAGTGCCGCCCGGCGTCCACAGCAAGGCTTCAGCCAGTTAGACCTGAGGGAGAGGAAGATGTGGAAGAGATGAATAATATTTTAACAGCATCAAAGAGTAACATCTATGACAAGGTTGAATGTAAAACACAAGACATGCAAAGAGACAAGATGTGTGTTGGAAAGGTGCATAAACATGTTCCAAATGATTATGCAAGTGATAATTTCTCAGATTTTCTTAAATGGTCAATACAAATGATGGTCAGTATAATTTTCAAGTCATGAACTATTGCAGTATAAACCAAATTTTACTGAACAAAGCTCCCCATGAGAAGAGTATTTTTTTTTCAAAAATAAAAAACCCAAAATGGACTGTTCCAAATTATTATGCACAGCAAATTTTCTAAACATTTTATGGATTATAAAGAACTGCAAACAGTCATTCTTTGAATGTGCAGCAATCAGTGGTCACATGTACTAAAATCAAAAGCTATTTCAATCGAAAACATCTTAACAGATCGAGTTACATGTTAACATAGGACCCCTTTCTGATATCACCTGCACAATTCTTGTATCCATTGAACTTGTGAGTTTGTGGATAGTTTCTGTTTGAATTTATTTGCAGGATGTCAGAAAACCTTCCCAGAGATGCTGTTTTGATATGAACTGCTTTCCACCCTCAAATCTTCTGCTTGAGGAAACTCCAAAGGTTCTCAATAGGGTTGAGGTCAGAGGAGGATAGTGACCACACCATGAGTTTCTCCCCTTTTATGTCCATAGCAGCCAATGACACAGTGGTATTTCTTGCAGCATGAGATGGTGCATTGTCATGGATGAAGATGATTTTGTTACCGAAGGTACGGCTCTTCTTTTTGAACCATGAAAGAAAGTGATCTGTCAGAAAGTCTATTTACTTTGCTGAGGTCATTTTCGCACCTTCAGAGACTCTGAAGGGGCCGACCAGATCTCTCCCCATGATTTCAGCCCAAAAAATGACTCCACCACTTCCTTGCTGACGTCACATCCGTGTTGGGATGTTTTGGCTGTCCACCACCAATCCATTACTGTGTCCATCTGGACCATCCAGGGTTTCACAGCAGTCATCAGTGAACACGTCTGTTGGAAAATTAATCTTCATGTACGGCTGGGCCCACTGCGACCGTTTCTGCTTGTGAGTACTGGATAGGGGTGGCCGAATATTAGGTTTGTGCACCGCAAGCTTCAGTTTTCATTAAATATCTAATGTTTTCATACCTTGTCATATGGCACTACACTATCTGATGATTTGCGTCAGCAGAGAGAACCTTTCTCTTTCCCATATTGCTTGAAACCTGTGGCCTGCTTAATAATGTGGAACATCCTTCTTAAGTAGATTTCCTTTAATTGAGCTCACCAGACAGTAAATCAACCCAGCACTGAAATTAATTATAGTGATTCAAAAAGCCCTGACACACAATATCATCTTTACATTTAAAGCACAACAAAAAAAAAATTGCGTAATAATTTGAATCATTATGAATGTGTATTTTTCACCCTCAGTTGATATAATTTCTGACAAAGTATGTTTTTTGATTTAAATATACATTTTTAAAAAGATTTATATTTGATAAAATAGTGTTATGACAAGGCTCCTTTGTCAGATTTAAATGGAAAGGTGTGTTTGCAAGTCTTTTTTACTCGGTTTGCTTTCAGAAGGTAAATTCTCTCAAAAAATAGTCACTATCATTTGTAACCTAAAAGCAATGTCTGTCTGAGGGTAAATGGAGTAAAAAAATAAAAAATAAAAAAGCTCTTCTTTTCTGCATTAGCTTCGGTTGAAAGAGGCAAAGAAGCGAACAGCCAGTTGAAACCAGAAATGAAGGATGAAGGAGTAGAAAGCGATGAAAATGGCATTAAAGAGGAAAAAGCACAGTTTTGCACACAAGAAAAGAAGGTATTAAAAACAATCATAAATCTATCATAAAAAAGAAAGAAAAAAAAGTCACAGAATTTGTTAAAAATAATTTTTAGTTTATGCTGAAACTCAACCAGTATAAACTGGTTCAGTCTCTTGTGTAAAATAAAATATTTCAAAGCAAACAATCCTTTTTGGATCTTTTCCTAATTATGGAGCTTTAAGGTAAAAAAAAAAAGTCAGGCAGTATGATGAATCCTGTTTATTAATTTGTGAAAGCTGAAGGCATTGATTCTTCCAAGTTATAAATGTAGAGCATTTTTTTTTTTAACAGCCACAATCAAAGCTTTATGATCTGGACTTTTCCAAATGTTTGAAGGGACAGTAAACTTATTGTATGTAAACTTTTGACTTTGATCCATCCATCCGTTCATGTCTGTCTGTCGGAACAGTTAATAGAAAACTTACTCCGATCAGCTTTACAATCTTAAAAGAAATATGTTTTCTTTAAGTAGAGAAGAAGGAAAGGACACATGTACTTTATGACTGGAGTCATTTTGCTATTAACAGATCTAAACAGTCTATTGATCCTAAAACAAGGTCATCAGAACAGCTGGAGTTTGGCCATGCCGTTGGTCCATGCCAAGAAATCAAGCGGTGCACTCAGCTCTCCATTGCAACCTTCTCTAGCTGCCAGTCCCTGCAAATTAGAGCCCAACACCAGGGGGGACAAAGAGGCAGTGAAGGGTAATGGTTTTTTCCCGTGTGCAAACGTACTCTAAGGGAGAAATGTCAACCCACATAGGCTAAAGAAAATATTTATTCATTAAGATATTTCATGCAGTAACAGAACATTTGTGAGAAAACTGTTAAAAGATAAAATGAGCAGCAAAGGAAACTCAGGCTACGATCTGAAAAGCACAATTTAACTCATGCTGTGTGAAATCATAATTCATTCAGACCTGTCCCAAAAGGCTGGCAGAAAAGGTATTAATTTAATAAACCTGTAAAGAAAAACCCTGACTAAAATCAGTGTAAATGACATTGATGAATTACTCCAAGCTCAGAAACATAATTTTAGGAAAATCTCTTTAAACCTTGAACACCCAGGACCTGAAGTATTTATGAAGAAGAGGGATTGCTTTAGCAGTGCAGGAAGGCAAAACAAACAAACAACAACAAAAAATCACCAGTTTAGGGTCAAAGCAGGGTCATTTTATACAAGCGACCCCTCACAGATTGTTCACGCACAAATGCAAAGAACACAGATGCACGCTCTGTGTGCAGATAAATGAAATCTGTAGGGCAGCGCGCACCGTGCGCGGTTCACGAATCCATCAGCTGAGCAGCTTATGCAGAGAAAACGCACTGAGGGATGATCGAAGCACGACGAGCAACTGCAGAGTGAGGGGATTAGATCATGAGACTTATCAATAGTAACCTGCGATGGAAGTGAAGGCTTGCTGTAAATGATGCTGGCTGCAGAAAAGCTGCTCCAGCTGCACAAAACGGACAAAGAGGCAAAGCAGGACAACTGGCACAGGCAGAGTGGATCTCGCTGCTCTGTTGGAGCCCCGTCTGCACAGACCTGACAGAGTTTTGTCTCTTTTACCAGCTGAGTTACATTATCCTATCACGTGGAGTGTCTCACTGCATTGTCTATAGCAATTAAGGCACGAGAAAATACAAGTTAAACCTGTGAAGCAGTGGGCATGCTATAGTGGGGTAGAGGGTAATGCAACCCACATTTGGAGGGCTTGAGTCCTCGACACGGCCGTCGTGGGTTTGATTCCCGGACCTGACGATACTTGCTGCATGACTTCCCTCTCTCCCTGCTCCTTTCCTGTCAGCCTACTTTCATGTAAGGGACACTAGAGCCCACAAAAGACCCCCTAGAGGGGTGGAAAAAACCCTGTGAAGCAGTGACAGGTTAAACTGAAATTAGAGAAGAAAAGATTTGTTTTTGTGTAAACCTTTTGGTGAAGAGATTGAGCAGGAGAAAAAGAGGCTGCAATCAGAATAATGACAATCTATTCAGTTCTCTGGTACACCGATTATAAAAACACAAGTTAATATGTACAAATAAAATCAAAGAGTGAGTAAGCACACAATAGGCAAAATATTGTATTGTTTATCTTGATTTCAATAAAACCCAGATGAAAATGTTTCCAAAGCCCAAGATTGTTTTTTTTTTGTTTACTTTTATTGGTCTTTTTACTTAAATGTTTCTAATCATCAGAAAATAAAATGTATAAAAAAAATTTCTATACTGAGTCCGTTTATCAAGAAAAAATATCCAAGCCAATGTGTAAAAATATAACTGCCTCATTGGTTTAATCCTGAATTAAGTGTGATTAATTCAATTCAATTCAAATTCTAAAATACTTTATTGATTTTTGTAATTTGTATTGTCCAAGACTTTCAAAGAGTTGTTCTAGATGCTGGACAAGAACATCAACATCATTCAACATCATTCCCACAGTCAAACATGGTGGTGGCAGTGTGATGCTCTGGATCTGCTTTGCTGACCTGCTGATTCAGGCAACCGTAAACTCTGCTTTCAAGCAGGAAATCCTGAAGGAGAATATCTACTAGCGAGTGACCTTGAGTCTTCCTGCAGGTAATATGAAGGACACAACTAAGTCCAGTTCTGAATGGCTCAAAATAAACATAAAAATGTTTTGTAATAAATAAGTCAAACTCTGGGCTTAAATTTGTTTGAGATCCTGTGGTTTGAAGGAAAGGGAGTTTGAAGGGAGTTCAAAAGTGCTTCTGCCAAAGGTAACAGTTTTTAGATTTACTAAGTGACTGTTTTGTCAGAGAGGATTTGTTTGGTTTGAATAACTAGACCTCCTCAATACCTCAACTCACCATTAAAAGCTGCTTTTCATATTTACTAATATGACTTCTGCATCAAAATCTGTGAGACAATGCAACATATGAAAGTATGAGTACCAAATAACTAAAAAATAAATTCTCCTTTTCCACTGAATTATACTTTAAACCTGATTAGTCTCAGAGCCTATGCTCTAATTCAGGTGCTTTACATTTTTTTTAAATAAACAAACATCAGGATAGTCTTCAATAGAACAGCTTTAGCCAAATACATTTAAAAAAAGATCCTTCTTGACTCAAGTTTTCTGTCTGCTTTCAGTCCCCCCTGAATAACT